AATGTATACAGTATCTGTATATAGCATCAGTCATAGTGTGGTTCTTCTGACCTGAAGCTCTTTTTTACCTTCTGTGATGTGCTTTCTTACAGGAGAATAATGCAAAACCTTCAATCACCGATGAATGCTAAAAATGAGACGTCAATGTAACATTTCTTATTATTATGATTGTGGTTTTAATAACTTGATGGATAATAAAGAGTAGACAGATAATGATGGTAAGCAGAGGAGGATTTAGGTGTGTGCTTTAAAGCAGTGGTTCTCAAAGTGGGGGTTGTGAGAGAATGAGGGGGGGGTCGCTTGGTGATTTCCAAAAATCTCTTATGTTTTTATATTATTAGAATTACCATATTTTACCCATAATTTACAGAAGAAAAAAATAGTTTTTTTTATTTTTATTTATAATATATTTAATAGGGCTGCATGGTGGCACAGTGGGTAGCACGTTTGCCTCACAGCAAGAAGGTTAATGGTTCGAGCCCCAGCTAGATCAGTTGACGTTTCTGTGTGGAGTTTGCATGTTCTCCACGTGTTTGCGTGGGTGTCCTCCGGGTGCTTGTGGTATAGGTGAATTGGGTAGGCTACAGCAAGTTGTCCGTATAGTGTGTGTGTGTGTGTGTGTGTGAATGAGTGTGTATGGATGTTTCCCAGTGATGGGTTGCAGCTGGAAGGGCATCCGCTCTATAAAACATATGCTGGATAAGATGGTGGTTCATTTCGCTGTGGCGACCCCAGATTAATAAAGGGACTAAGCCGAAAAGAAAATAATTGATATATTTAATTAATACTTAATTTTTATTTGTTACATAAAAAACAACATATAAATAAAAAGCTTTCAAATAATCAGGCTTTCAATTCTTTTCCCCACTAGATTGGGACCCCTGGGGTCATTATGCTAAGATTCCAGCTATAGCGTTAGTTGCAGCAAAATGATTTGAGGGCACAATGTTACTACTAATGTCCTACTAAGGTGTAACTTTACACCTTTATGACACTCATTTACATCAAAAATAAAGGCCACAACTGAACATGGAGGAAGATCTCCAAGTGGCGGTCTTCAAAATTATACCAAGAATAGTCTTGTGCTGTAAAAGTTATGCCCACCATTCTCATTAAATGAGGTTAATATTAAATTAAACAAAAGAATAATGACGTAAAAAATGATGTGGTTGTTAGACTGTTGCATTTTTTTGTGTTGCCAATATGAATGTGTTTATAAAGTTACTATTAGTGTGTTATTGTGTGCAATATCTGTGTTTATAACAGCCTTTAAGCATAGTGGGGGTCGTGAGTCACTAGAGTTGCTATTTTAGGGGTTATGGGCTGAACATTTTGAGAACTCCTGCTTTAAAAGATAGCTATACATGTAATCATATCCGTTTATATTTTAAAAATGGTTAATTTTATCTTTAAAAATATGAGACCAAATGCTTTTTTTTTTGTAGATTTATGCGTTCAGTCTTAAAGTGAGTGTTGTTTTTGTACATTTTTATTCTGTTCATTTCAATAGACCAAGTAGTTTGATTTGTTTACAATTTGTCTGTTTTATTTATTTAATCGTTTGCAATTTTCTTTAGTTTCATATTTATAACTGTTTCACCTTTGTGTTGGTTGTTGACTAAAATCAGGTTCTGGGTTATTTGGGGATTTTTTTTGAAGGGACCATAATGCTTTATTTGTTTGCTTTTGTAATAATTCTAATAATTCAGCTCAGAGTTCAGAGTTTGACTTATGAAATTTTTTTGTGTTTGTAATTGGAAATAACTCAAGCTAACAGAATGGACAATGGAATCCGTTTTTTTTCCATACACACAGAAGATGGTGAATGTTAAAAGCTATTTTTGACATGTGGAAATATATATTTTAAACAATTTTTTATCATTTGTCTAAGATTTGGATTGTAATGTAATATGGTCAACAATCAACTAACAAGGTCTTTTGTCTGCAGACATGAAATATTCCAGTTGAGGGCAGTAGTGCAGTGTATAAAGTGCTTTTTTATTCTGGTCTAGAACATTTCAAAGGGTGTTGCCATTTCTGTTTACTTTCAGCGCCTTGGGCTTTGTCTTCAGGCTGCGTTCATAAATCTCTAATTCATTATTGTCAGTAAAGTTAGCAGATACAGATAGCTTTATATTAGTTTTGTTTTTTATATAAAGTATTTATATATATATATATATATATATATATTTTTTTTTTTTTTTTATAATGTATTTGTTCTTGATTACTATTTTTTCTTGAGATCTGGCAACATGATGGATTCGCAGCTTGTAATTTATCTGTGTTCTGTGAGGTAAATTTCACACTTACATATTGTTTAAAACATGTCACAAACCTCTTGTTCATATTGGTCAAATACAAACTTTTCAATGTTCTTTAGGTAGCCCTAGCTCATGTGAGTGAATTGTGTTGCTTTGTTCAAAACTGTATTTTGGACTCCCTGTTACAAAATGTAAAACACACAAAAATAAATAAATAAATAAATAAAAAATGAATAAATACAGAGGTTAGACAATGAAACTGAAACGTCTAGTTTTAGACCTCAATCATTCAATTGTATGGTGTAGGGCCTCCTTTAGCCACTAAATGAAAAAGTTACGAATTGCCGTGAGATTGTGTTGGAATGACAGATACAAGTCATGCACAGTGGCCAGAGGGATTTTGAGCCGATCTTCTTGCGGAATAGTAACCAGGTCATTATGTGATGCTGGTGGAGGAAAACATTTCAAAGCACACCAAAGTAGCTCAATAATATTTAGGTCTGGTGACTGTGCAGGCCATTGGAGATGTTCAACTTCACTTTCATGTTCATTAAACCACTCTGTCACCAGTCTTGATGTGTGTATTGGTGCATTATCATCCTGATATGGGTACATGGCTTCAGGAGACAATGTTTGAGTGCACAAATGATTCGGTTGTTCTTGGCAGTGATGAACCCTTCCAGCACAAGTATTAGACCTAGGGAATGCCATGATATTGCAGCCCAAACCACCTCTGATCCACCCCCATGCTTCTCTCTGGGTCTGGCCAGTCTGGGTAGTACGCTTCTTTGGGGCTTGAACAGTGGGGCTTGAACAATGAAGGTGGACTCATTACAGAGAAATACATGTTTCACATTGTCTATAGCCCAAGATTTTCACTGCTGGCACCGCTGAAACTGACGATTGGCATTAGCACAAGTGACCAAAGGTTTGGCTATAGCAGCCCGGTCATGTATATTGACCATGTGTAGCTCCTGACAAACAGTTTTGGTGTAATACAAGAAAGTTGAGCTGCACATTTAATTGTACAGTTACTTTAATTCTGAGTCAGGCAGCTGTTTTTTTTTTTAATGTTTGGATAAAATCCAGATTAGCACACGGATATCCATTTCAGAAAGCTTCCGCTTGCGTCCACAGTTACTCCTGTTGGTTACTCTGCTAATTAAACCTCCACACTCTGCTCTTAGTGGTGGAATGAGCAATCAATGACGACTGGCACCAGGGTGCTAAAGTTTAGCCATGAAACCTCTAACACTAAATTGGCCAGTGTTTCAGTTTCATTGTCCGACCCTTGTTTTTGTAATGGGCTTCTATCAGGAATGGCATTGTCATACATTGCAAAAAATGGTTGTCTGCACTGAGGGTGAATCCAAAACTATTTCTCAGACTTTGTGTGATTTATGTACTAGACATTACTGAAAAAGAAAAAAAAAATCAATAAAAATATGGACACATAATTATTGTTTTGTGTTTTTGTCTATCGTTATTGGAGAACTCTGTTATTTTAATAATACCTGTAAATGCAATGTTCAATATGAACACTTTTTGTTTTGTTTTTTGTCTAAAGCAGAAGTCTAATGGTTTCACACGAGCAGGAATGGAAACGTCCTTTAATAACACTCTACTGACACCTCACACACACATACACACACTCTCACGCACACTGACATTAAGCAGAAAAGCTCATATGCCTGTACATGCCAGATGTATTAATCCCACTGATATACATGTGCAAACATTAATAAATAAAGCAATTAAACTACAGCAATGTTTTAAACACCTTTTCGTTGAAAGTTTTGCATCTATTCCTCGCAGGATTTGCATGATCATCTCAAGGCAAGAGGTAAATACTCCACATGATCTTCCTCTTTAATGTTCTTTAAAAAACAAAAAACAAACAGTTGTTTTGTTAACAATTTGGTGCAAGCTACTTTCTCATATCAATTATCTACATATGTATAGAGGCAATGCCAAACTTTACACATAACTAATCTGAACAATATGCAATATTATAAAAGAGGGTCACATTTTTATTTATTTATTTATTTATTTTGTAATGGACTGCAGAATCTCATGGACTTTCAAGCAACCAGCAGACAAACTAGCCTCAGTGCTTAATTTCCTGAGGGTTACAGTTTCCTGTAAATACGTTTTTTTTAAACACACTGGAGCCAAACACAACTTTCAGTTCACATCTTTCTAAAATGCCGCCTAATAATGTGCAACACAGTGTAAATGTTTTAAATGTGTATATGTGAAAGTACATATAGAGTTGATAGTAAAGTCTGCTTTAACCCTTAAACAGGCATCATAACCACCTGGTTGACCTTTTATTCGTAGGTTTTATAATTATCATAGGTTATCATAATATTTATCAGAGTTGGGTCAGTATATTATTCAATCCAAGATAAAGGGTTAAGTATTACACGGATGTTTTTAAATTACTTAACCAAATTCCTAGACTGTTCCTAGACTAAGTTCATTGAATGCTTTTATATATATATATATATATATATATTTCGAGATATATATAAAATTATTAGCCGCCCTTTGTATTTTTTTTTATATTTCCCAAATGATGTTTTACAGAGCAGGGACATTTTCATAGTATATCTGATAATATTTTTTCTTCAGGATAAAGTCTTATTTGTTTTGTTTTTGCTAGAATAAAAGCAGATTTTAATTTTTTAAAAGCCATTTTAAGGACAATATTATTAGCCCCTTTAAGCTATGTTTTTCCCCTATAGTCTACAGAACAAACCATCATTATACAATAACTTGCCTAATTACGCTAAGCTGTCTAGTTAACCTAGTTAAGCCTTTAAATGTCACTTTAAGCTGTATAGAAGTGTCTTGAAGAATATCTAGTCAAATAGTATATAACTGTCATCATGACAAAGATAAAATAAATCAGTTATTAGAGATGAGTTAATAAAACTATTATGTTTAGAAATGTGGTAAAAATCTTCTCTATTAAACAGAAATTTGGGGGAAAAATCAAAACAGGAGGGCTAATAATTCTAACTTCAACTGTATATCACTGTAAAATATTTGACCTTAAGATTACAGTTAATTACTGGCTAATTGCATTACTTTCACAGTAAGGTACTGTATGTAAATCCACAGTAAATTACTGTGAGGTACGTCATAATAACAATAACTCTTATTATTTCTAAATATCAAAAAAAGTGCCTGTACTGGCATAAACGTTACTGTGTATTCATTTCTGTGTTAATAAAACAAACAGAGTTTGTATTAATACAAAGTATTAATATGGTTTGAATTCCTAACTAACAAGCAAAAGATAAAGCCATTTACAGTAATTCGCTGTAATCATGCTGCCTGCCTTAATTTCACAATAAAATTCTGAATACATGAAATTTAACAGTTAAATTCTGTGAAGTGACACTAATGTAATTTACTGTGAAAAACTACAGTAAAATTCTGGGAAATTATTCCAGTGTATATATACACAATATGGCATTTAATAGCTTTATACATGTCTGTATTATTTATTCAATTAATGCAACATTTTTTGAAGTAATAAATTACCTTACCGATTTCCGTGGTTTTCTGTGGAGGATTATGGGATCAACGTATGTTATTTCATCTTCCCGGGTCTGAACTGTTTTAGCAAAAACAATAATCCATGCATTACATGAACAAAACTCAGTTTCAATCTTTAAACATTTAACACTGCAGTTTTTATTGTTTGTTTTAGTTTGTGTGTGAACACCTTTCATTTCAACGGTTCCACTACCACTAAAAAAGAGAATCGTTAGTTATACTGATGTTAATGTATAGCTGTAATTAACACTTGCCTTTTTCATCATGTTTTCTATTTCTCCTGCAGATGCAGAAGATCCCGAGTCCAGCTACAATCAACAAAAGTCCAACAGTGGCGGCAGTGGCAGAGATCAGGACCGGCAGCGACACAGAGTCTGAAATAAACATCATATCAAACGTAAGTGAATATGTCAGTCTAATCTACAACCAAAGACAGAAAGAAGTGCTGTTATACCTTTACACTGTTGACAGAGCTGAGTGACGTTGAGTTGTGTGGTCTGGTTGCTGATGGTGTTGTTGATCATACAGCTGTAGGTGTTTTTATCCTGATATTCCACCTCCAGAGGTAGAGAGAGACTGATGCTGAGATCAGACACACTGATGCTGGACAATAAACTGTTTCCTTTGTACCAGGAGAGACTCACAGCGCTCACATTCACCACTGAACACACCACTAAACAATTATACTGGGATGAAGAACACTGAGAAGAGTTGAAGATGAGGACAGGAACAAGCAGAAGAGCTGGAAAACAACAAATGTTTAGTACATTGTGTTGAATGAGTATAAATACTTAAGGTAAGAATTTTTGAAAGGTATGACTAAGAATCTCTACTCACGATAGACAGAAACATTGAATGTTTTTGGTGTCAGTTTTACTCCACCCATGTCTAGTTTATAAACTCCAGCATGTTCAGTTGTGATGTTTGTGATGACCAGAAATCCAGTTTGTCTGTCCAGCTTCAGTCTGTCTCTGAATCTCTCATTAACAACATTGAGTTTGGGGACAGTTTGGTTTTTAATTGTGATTTTAGCTATCAGAGTATTTTTGGCTCCTTGTGTCAACAGTATTTCTTCAGCCTCTTGAATGTGAGTAACACCAGAGTTTAGAGTGACTGAATCTCCCTCCATCACTGACACCAATTCATCAAACACACCTGGAGAACAACAAGAGGTTTTACACAAATGAAGACTCTGAATTGTTTGCAAAATTTGAACTCTGCTGTAGTTTTTGTCATATACATGTAAACTAAAGAACAAATAAAACAACCACAGAGACACAATTACATGATAACCTCATCTTTAAATTAAAAGTATGCTGGTTGTCTTCCATATTTAAAAGAAATAAATAAACAAGACATGTAGATCTACAGAAAAACAGCCTAAAGATGTCAGCGGCTCAATGGTTTTTGGCTTTTAAAGCCTCCACATGCAGATCACAACCTGACACATTTTCAAAGTTATTAGTGGACCTTACAACTATTCACAGCAGTGGAAATAAATGCTATAATAACTTACCAGCGCAACATCTCCAGCACAAACAATATAAAACAAACATCTGAAACATGTTCTTTTACAGTTCTGCATTACCTAAAGACCTTCCGCTAAAAACGCTGAAGGTGGTGTGTGTGTGTGTGTTTATGAATCCTCCCACAACCATTTGACCCTCCTATTACTTTTTATGGCCTATAGTTAGACTTTAAAGCTTTCTGGTTGATGGAAATATTTAGTAATTTTAGCAACATGCTTTATCGATGATGGTATCTGACTTGAAAATGGCCAAATACAGATGCTAATTGTGTTAGATGAACTAAATTCCATTGAATAAATTTGCCTAACTCATGCATTTTGTACTTGTCTTGCTTTTTTTGTCTCGTTTTCAAGTATCTAAAGAATCGTAACTTAAGATGGATTTTCTAGATAAACAGAAAAAGTATTGTCTAGTTTTAAAAAAATATATCAAAATGAAAACATTTCCTGAAAACAAGCATAATAAAGTGGTAATCAAAACTATTTTTTGGCCAAAAAAAAAAAACAGCATTATTTTGCTTGTTTCACCTAATTTTATCATGTGGCTTCTAAAAAAACAAGGCTTGAAAATGTTTCTTGGTTTGGACTGGAAACAATGCAACAACTTTAAGCAAGAGAAGCAATTTTGCAGTGTTTAAATTGGTCGTATGTCTATTCATTTAATTCTCATGTGTTTTGTGTGGAACAGTTGCGTTGAATCGTTTGGCACCTCACCGAAGCAGATTTCCTGAGGTTCATCCTCTGAGTCAAACTGAAAATAGCTGTGGTTAATTGTCTTTCAGAAATGTCTGAACTGTTTGGAGGCCAAACAACCTGCATCGGGGGGCTTCAGTGTAAGTGTGAAGAGCTTACAGGTGAAGTGTTTCTTCCTGTTATGCACTGCTATATCTCTGTATTCAATGTTTGTAATAATAAAACACCTATATGATTAGTTTTCCACTCATAATAGCTTTAAAAACTGTCATTTGTTTGTTTGTGAGTTGACTTTCTCTATTAGCTTCTGCTTTTTGTGCATGTTTGTGGTTTTTCAATTTACCCACATTAGCGTTTAGGTTGTTTGAAGATGTGCCACTAGTGAACTCGTATTTGCAAGGCACCCTATGCCTTAGTGGCCTTTTAGTAACCTAGTAGTATAGTGGCTTTTAATCCTTTTATTTAGCTAACAGTGGCCTTCTCAACCACATGGCTCAGTTTGAAGGTCTTTAATCAGGGAGCTAAGGTGCCCAGAAATAGACATGCCAAGCTTTTTAGTATCATACTCGAAAAGACTTTGGGTGTTTCTGTTGTATTTTTTTTTGGAAATATGGCTACCTTTTCGATATGATGTGGCCATCTTATGGTGATAACCGTGTTTTGCATGTGCGTTTTCCGTCGAACGGAGACACGAAAAGGTCGTGATGGTTGAGAAAAAAATAAGTGGAAGAAAAAAAAAACGGGGTGGGAAAAAAACTGTGATATCTCGCAACATAAAAACATCTTTGCGACATAGCGCAAAACATCTTTGCATTTCCTCACAAAACATCTTTGCGAGGGTATGCAAAAACTAAAAAAAAAATGTTTTCCTATCACTGTTTTTTCCTCCCAACCTCCCTGCCAACTTTGTAATTGTGTTGCTATATTTCTTTAATATAATTTTTAACATTCATTTGGCTACTTTTAGCCATTTTTAAAAAGTGACTCAAAAGAGCAGTGGCTGCAGGCTTCACTCAGTAGAGTAAATTGCTAGCTCAGATAGTTTTTCGTAACTGTTCATTTACTGATGTTTGTTAACATGTATAATTGTTGGTAATTTAGGTAGCAAAAAATTCCAATAGTGCTATAGTTGTTGTCTCTTTCACAAATGTGAGCTGACAGGCGGCCTCCAGTCCACGTACAGCAGCCTCCTGCAGACAGTAGATCACTTCTCTGTGCACCGACGGCAAATGATTTGGCACAGGCAGTGTGGTGTAGTCAAACCGATCTGCTTCTCTTTTTTTTTTTTTTTACAATTTAATTTGAACGTTTATTCTTTATTTGTTCACAATCACATACATTTTCAGTGAGAGTTTCAGAACTTGTCTGAGTTTACGTCCGAAAGAGATTACTGCAAATTCACTACACATCTATATACTGTATTCAAACAGCAATACATTAAGTTAAATTGACATGCTTATATAAAGCGTAATGCAAATATAAATACCCCTTTATTAACCATAGGCTGTTAAACAAACAAAATCTTTGGTGATGACGTCCGTAACGTGACAATTCTTAGTGATTTTTAGCAACAGTGCATTAAGCTACTTTTCACCGATCACCCTTCTGGTCACATTTGTTCTTTAGAAAAACATGTGAAAAAATGAAGCTTCTCGCTATATTTACTTTTCACTGGTGTTTACTCGACTCTGGTAAGACGTTTTAGACATTAATATTGTTTCTCTTCTTGTTTTCAGACTTTGTTTTCAGAAGAGGAAGTGACGCGGTTTGTTTTGAATCTTACAGGCAATTCGACATAATAATGCGTTTATCCTTTGTATTTTGCTGACGATATGTGTTTTTACACAACCGTAGGACGTTTGTTTACTAGGCTAACGTTAATCACTCTTCTGGTTACAAAAAAAACGCTGCAAACAAGACGCAGTCACCTTTTCTGTGGTGCAGTCAGAAACTGCTAATCATCGCGTAAAATACAGGAAGTGTATGTTGTAATAGCCTAACTCACGTAAAGTTGAAGTAGACGTTTAATATCAACATATTGATGAAATTACCTTTTAATGTACTGTGAGACACTTAAAAATGACATTAATTTATTTTTGTTCTTGTGTTGTTTCAGTGTTTGCTTGTTTAAACTTTAAAACGAACGTAGGTGTGTTTGACTTAAGTTTGTGCTGTTTTGCAATGTTGTCCTACTTGACACCGGAGATAATGTGCGACAAAAGTGATCAGAGATACTAGTTGAAAGTGCCTTTTTACCATATGTTCGAGCTTCTGAAGTCTACAGCTAAAGATGATACAATCATGAATATTTTGTTTATTCTGAGCCATATACAGCCCAGTTGCTCACAGATTATATTTATATAACCAGAAAAACTCTTTTCATTGAAGCATACTGTTATATTGTGGCATGTTCATCAAAATAAAACATAAAAATAGTATAGTTAGTTAAAGTTCATTTTAAGCACTTAGGGCACTGACTATGTTATGGGGCTAGTTCACATGAAACTGAAATTTCTGTCAATATTTATTCACTTGCCACAAGCCTGTTTCAGTTTCTCTCTTCTGTTGAACACAAAATAAGGTTATCTGAAAATTGTCAGAAACCTACAACCATTGACTTACATGGTATTTTTTATTTATTTATCTATTTTTTAAATATAATATGGAAGTCCATAATTACAGGTTTTCAGCATTATTCAGAATATCTGGCTTTGTATTTAACAGAAGGAAAAAAACATATAAAGGTTTGGAAAACTTGAAGAGTAGAATTTTCCTTTTTAGAAGAACTATAGAAGCCAGTGGTTCTCAAAGTAGGGTCGGGACCCCCTGGGCGGTTGTTGGACAATGACAGAGGGTTGCTTAGTCATTTCCAAAAGTTAAATAAATTTAATTAAACCATTAGAATTGCAATATTTTAGCCATAACCCACTGATTATATTAATAGTAGTTCTAATAGTATTAAACAACAACAGCCTTTAAATTATTATTTTTATAGGATTGGTGTGTTTACTTTAGATTAACAACACCGCAATGACGTCAGCTCCAGCAGATTGATTTTATAGCACCAGGTTAAGCTTTCTGATACCTTTATGGCAGTCAAATGCATTAAAAATAAATACAGGCCACAACTGAATATTGAGGATGTTCTCTGATTGGTGGTCTACAACATTAAACCAAGAATAGACTTATGCTGTAAACATTGTGCCCACCAGTCTCTATAGTTGAGGTTAATATTAAATTAAACAAATTAATAAATGACTATAAATATATGGTTGTTAGACGGTTGCACTTTTTTTGTGTCGTCAATATGCTCGCGTTTATATAGGCCTGTCGTTGTATGAACATTATTTTGCATAGAACATATAACCACCTATGGGGAATTTTGGGGTCACGAGTCATTGGCATTGCTATATAGGCCATGGGCTAAAAAGTTTGTGAACCCCTGCTTTCAGCAGTCCTAAAGTTGCTTATTTGAAAAATACTGCATCTAATCCATTTAATCTCAGTCTTAGAAAATGTAAACAGCACTGCACCATTAGCCATGTTTGCATCCACCTATTCTTATGAGCATTTTGCCATATTGAATAAAACTGCTTAATAGAGATGTCAAGAGGCACACAGTAGAGTAGGATAAACGTTTTATCTGTTCAGAAAAAAAAAGTGCATTGACTACACATTAACTGAATAAATTCCAGTATGCCTGTCAAAAAAGTAATGTGATTTATTTTTAACAGATCACTGAGCATGATGGGTTGGCATTAATGGACAAATAAGCAGACCAACCACATTGTAAAAATATGAAATGTTTTGGTCATTCAAGGTCTGTCATCAAAGTAGTCAGGAATTATTACCCCCAGAACTGAGCATCTGCATGCCTAAAGAGCAATTCAGAGTTAGAGTTAAAGTTGAATACACCTAATGTTGTCGTTTATTTTGGTTAAATGCCGCTCTCGTTCTGCTTTATCTTTTCTTCGCCTCACACCCTCATTTGTTCTTGTCCGTTCTGTAGATTGTGCTCACCTGTTCCTCTGTTTGCTTGGCCTAACCCAACAACCACACTTGTGGTCTTGGCTAGTTTAAAGCTTGTGCATGTGAGAGACAAAGTGTGCACTATTGTTCCAGCTTAGCAACACTGCAGAGCTCAGTGCCCTTAATCCACATGCTGTAATCAAAGCAAATCTAAATTAGGAAAACCATTTAAGAAAACATTAAAGCGCAAGTTGTTTTTTTTATTAGAACTTTTGATTTTGCAAAACTAGTACATATCTAGGCATGTATATTTTAGAAACACTGCACCGAAGCATGATCTGAAACACCCAAGTCACGTGACTAAAGTGTTTGGAAACACGTGGTCACCTGACTAAAGCGATTCAAACCATCAATCAGTTTAGAAGTGTTTCGAGACCTGGCGAATTTGCATTTGACTACCAGGGTCAGACTACACTTCTGGCTCATATGGCCTCGTGGACTGTGTGTGCACGTTGTTACTGTGCTTCAAATGACTTTTGGGTTCGAATCCCGACTTGTACAAATACTGTGTGGTTTTGTGTATTTTAATCCTGTTTCTGTTTTATGGTGTAGTCTAAATAGGATACAGCTGCAGTTACGCCATCAATTAGCATCATTTTTGTAACACTGTCAAACAATAATTAATATTTTTACTGTACTGTGATGGTTGGGTTTAGGTAGACATAAATAAAATACATTAAATGGGAAATTTAATGAATATTATAAATAATTCTTGTTAACTTTTGGCCACAACTGTGTCTGATCTAGCAAAAACCCTTTTTTATGACCAAAACAAGACAAATTTATTATTATTCGGATGTCAGACCGATGTTGAAAACAAAACGATACAAGAACAAAGCATTACCAACTGGTATTAAAGCATTTGAAAATAGCTGTATCAGCCTGAATTTAAACCCACTATCCTCGCATGGTAGTCGGAAACCTGAACCGCTCCATTAAATCACTTGAAGGTTTAAACATGCAAAGTGGGGTTTAATACCTCAATTTGCTCAACTGATCTTTGCTGAAACTGTTTCAGTGCAATACATAAAAATGACCACTAGGTGTCACCGTAGAGTGGCATTTTGAAGCTTCGACACATTTGCTTCGACTTTGACTTCATGAAGCCTCGCTTTGCCCACCACTACTTTTTATTTCAACGAGGCACAGCAGAACAACAGCATATGATACTATGACAAAGGTCTGTTGAAGGTGAAATATCCAAGTGTCCTTCTATCTTTCTTAGAGGAACATTGTTTTTAAACATTTCAATAATTTTCTCACGTATTTGTTGTCAAACTGTTGATTCTCGGCCCATCTTTGCTCCTAAAGGACTAGACCTTTCTTGGATGTTCTTTTGTATTAAATCATAATTACAATCACCTGTTGACATCACCTGTTTCACATCAAATCATTATTTAACCAACTCATCTGATTACAAGCCCTAAACTGCTCATGTCCCAACTTTTTTGGGAATGTGTTTCAGTTCTGAATGATAGGAAAGCATGTATATTTACAAATGAAATGAAGTTGACCAGACAAGCATAAAATATTTTGTGTTTATATTGCAATAGAAGTCAAGCTGCAGGCACACTGGGCTTTTCCTCCCATAGACTTTCATTTATACGCACACGAATGCGTCAGACCAGAAAAGCAGGGTCATGCGTCAAGTTTCGCAGGTTGCTGCGGTGCAAAGATCAAACTTGATGAACTCTGACCTGCGAAATCACGTCACTTGACTGCGTGAGACTAATCGAGGATCAAAACATGACATCTCTGGACAGAAAATTAAAACATGGAGCAATCAATCGGATTTTTAAATGTCCAATAAGCTTGTTTAATCCCGCTCTTTTTCGCAGAGTTGTACGACAGAATTTGGCAAACGCAAACTCTAATGTGACCGCAGCTTTAAAGTGAAAAAAAGTGTTTTTCTATACTGTCCCTTTTTTTTTTTTTTTTTTGATTTGGGGTTGTACATAGTGCAACTGGGGGATTTTCAGAGATTTGTTCTCAAAACAAACAAGCCACTCAAAAAGGAACGACAGTACATGCATAACAACATGTGGGGTAAAGAATCAAGTTATGTAAATTTTTGAACTGCCCCATTTGTGTAAATTGAGCACTAACATTGTCTTGTGGACTTGGGAACATTCTGTGGCAAGTTATTCAGGGCAACACTACTTGTAAGAGCCATTATGTTTGTTGTAATGCTGTTTTTGACCACTGGGTGGAGTGTGGGTTTGGAGGAGTATATAGGTAGACAAAGAGTTAGAACAGCAGTGTAATTAGAGGGAAGCACAACATTTTTTGACCGTTTGAAAGAGCTTTGTGGAGGCATTCAATGTGATTTTATGAGCATTTATATACCAGACTGTGAGTGGAAATTGAGACATAAGAACTGTCTGTTAAAAAATAACTCTAATAAACAGTATTTGGAAAATGATTCCTTTATTGAGATCTCACACGTCAGAAACAACCCTACAGCACCTCAAGTGACAAAATGGTCATTTGTGTCACTACACTACTAATAAAAGAAATTAGGATCGATTGTTTTTTTTTTTATTAAATAATTATTGTTTAGCATGTTCAGAAAGAGGGTTGTAAATTTTGTTGTATACGTTCCTAATTATGATCATCCGTTCATCAATCATGTAAGTTTGTCACGTGTGAATCAGGGATGTTCTGCTCTTTGTGTGTGTGTGTGTGTGTGTGTGTGTGTCTGTGTGTGTCTGTGTGTTTCATTATGAATCCACTCACATTTCTCTACCTGTAATCTGTATGATCTGGAGAAAGTGGTATTCACAGCTCTTTCATGTTGTATAATTCACTTTGGCTTCATTTTTTCCAGATGTTTTTGGTGTTTGTATGGATGGAGAGTCTGTGTCAGTGGCGGAGGGACAATCTGTCACTCTAGACACCAATGTTAAAGTAAACCAACAGCAAAATATTACATGGAGTTTCAGCGATGAAGTCATTGCTGAAATCACAGGAGACCTCAGTTTTAACTGTGCAGGTGTTCAGTGTGAAGGTGGTGATGGTAAATTCAGAAACAGACTGAAGCTGGACAGTCAGACCGGATCTTTGACGATCAAAGACATCAGAATTACAGATACAGGAGTTTATAAACTGCAGATCAACAACGAGAGCAGACAAAGTGAAAAAATCTTCATTGTTACTGTAATTGGTGAGTCATTATTTAAATTACTTTATAATATGTGGCTGTTGATTGCTTGATTCTGATTGGCTGATGAACATTCTATTGTGATGTTCACCTAGTTTCAAACATTTGTAAATGCTATCCTATTATTTTTCATCATGCTTCAAGAAAATTGTAGTAATTACATTTTTTACAATGTTATATAAACTAATGAAAAATAGAGTAAAATGCAAGTCAATTTTAATAAAACCTCATGTCAAATTAAATTAAAGATAAGAAATTTTATGTATGCATGAAACTGTATGACATATCAAATCACGGTTATTGTCACGTCAGCAGCAGCATGTGTACTATGATGAGTGAACAGCTTAGAAGGAATCATTCACAGTTTTTTAATGTTATTATTTATTAATCAATAATAAGCAATGTTTTTAACAGATGCCTATTAATTTAAGGTTATTCATGACATGTATGTACCTTTGTCTGATGACTGAATGTGATAATTGATTTCTGCTGTTGGTTTTGAATCCAGGTATGTTTCTCTTCACAGTCGATGTGTAGATTAGAGCTGCACAATATGCCTAAAAATGTATTTTGTCACAATAATAGTATGTGCAATAACTGTATCACAGAGAAGTGGAATAAATTACATTCATGTTACATGCCAAGCATGTTTTGCATACATAGGTTATCCAAACCTGACCAATCAGATTTGACTTTTCCTATCATCTGAACCTAGAGCTGAAAAAAAAAACTAATGCTGGAATACAAATGTTTCCTTCAAGGTTTTTAGTTATTTGTGGTGTTTTAATGTCTAATTTTTATTAATTTAATTAGCTCAGAAAAATATTTTTCAACTGTTTATTTTAGTATGATCATTACATAAATTGCTTAAATTATTTTTTTAGTTTTTTTATGTTAGGTATGTGATAAGAAATATTGTTATCACAACACTTAACATTGCGTATCCAACGATATCTCACATCAATTCAAATTTAACTAACTTTTTGATTTAGTCACTAATTCTTATGAATTTTGATGATCCGATTTGTACATTTGTATGATTTGCTCATCACCAATGACTGGTTAGGTTTGGTGGCCTTCCTTTAACAGGCAGCATCTCCTCACAGAGACTACAGCCAAACTGAAAGCAAAATCAAAACATAAAGTGTCCAGGCCTGGTCCTTACTTGTCTTCCACTGCTGTCTCTTTTCCTTTTATTATACAGAGCTCCTTCATGGCACTTGGGACTGGTGCAGGAACGCTCCGGTTACTAAAGTAACCCTCGTTCCCCGAAGGGGGGGAACAGAAATGCTATATGGAAAAAACTTCCACTATATGGGGTATTTTGTTCAGAAAGCCAATCATCTGAAAGAGTATTGAAACTGCCAATGAGTTGGCAGCTTCAGCTTGCGCAGCTGATGCTCGTTGCAATCAATTTGGCTATATAAGCACAGTGCGTGGAGGAGCGGTCCACAAGCCCGAGGGCGGCAGATTTACTCCCACTGTAACCCTCAGATCTGCCATGGAGCGGGGGACAACTGGGGTGGGTTGCCCTCTTGCAAGAGCGAGCCGCAATCCTAACTGCGCAACAGACATGCTGCCGCAGTGATGGCATGCACTGCCCGCGAGCACTGCATTAACATGCGGGACCCCCAGACATGAAACGCAGTGCTCATGCCCATCATCCGGGGCCAGGAAACCACCGCATGCAGAAACGCACGACGTCTTGAAAAATACTCATTGGCATTTCATTGGCCTGTTTACATACTCTTTCAGATGATTGGCTTTCTGAACGAAATCCCCCATAGTGAAAGTTTTTTTCCACATAGCATTGAAGTTCCCCTCCTGAAGGGAAACAGGTGCCTTTCTTCATTCCCACATCTCTCAGTCCTGCCCTACTCGCTAAAAACTGTAAAATAGATATGTTTTTTCATATTTTCCAAGTATTTTCCAAGTTTTTTCATATTTTCCAAGTATTGTCTTGGCGTAGATAAACGCATTCTTGTTGTATGTTTCATTGCCTTCTAATTAATTGTTGTTGTTTTCCAGGTTTTTTCCATGTTGGTTCATATGGAGAACCTGTGTTTGTAGTGAAGGGAGATTCAGTAACTCTACAGTCTGGTGTTGAAACAAACCAACAAGAAAAGATTAGGTGGTATTTTAACAACATCCGCATCGCTCAAATCACTGGAGATTTCACTAAAATCTGCACAGGTGTTGAGTGTAATGAAGGCAATGAGAGATTCAGAAACCGACTGCAGCTGGATCACCAGACTGGATCTCTGGCCATCATGAACATCACAAACACGGACTCTGGAGTTTTACGTCTTCGGGTCTTCAGCAACGACAGCATTGGAGAAAAGATCTTCATTGTTGCTGTATTTGGTAAGTCATATGTTTAAACTGTACAAACTCATTTAGGATATTTTTGTGTGACATTTAGAGGTGTGTATCAATACACAGTATATAGAAAAAAACACTAAAAGAAATTACTGTTAAAAGTTCCTAAAACCTCCCCGTCTGTGCAGTTTTTACACCTTTAGTTTGAAAAAAGTCAGGAAAGTGGGTGAGTCCAGCTTTGTTTAGGTGGGAGTGTTGAGTGGTGAAAAAGGTAAGGGTTTGCATGAAAAGGGGAGTTTCATTACCTGCAAAAAAATTACATGCAAGTATGGCAAATCCGAATTTCACCATTTCCAGATTCGAAAATCTCTTGGGTAAAAAAATGTTTCTTACAAACTTTTTTTGTTGCGTGTTAATAGACCACTTTCATCCAACTGCTTGGGTCCACACATGAGCTTTGCTCTCAATGCGGGGAAATGGAAACAACTTTTGTTTCGGCACATTTAAAAACACTGGCAACCCAAACAATTCTTCTTCAAATTGTTTTAATTACGGTTGGCAACACAAAGTGGTGTCTCTCTGAACACTGTAACAGGTAAAAAGAGTCTTCGAACGTATATCATAAATATTAATGAAGTTGCATCTCATTCACAATTTATCGTGCTGATTAGTACAAACCAAGTCTTTCTCATGAATTAATGCTGAAAACTCGGTGTCGTCACTTTATACTGGCCGCTACAGACATCCAGTCTCCACACTGGAATTGACACAAGGATGTCATGGCCGTGACGTAGCAAATTTATTTTTAAGCCAAAAGAACAAATTTGCTCTATACAGTGAAAAAAACAATTTACATTTTTTTTGTGAAATGTGTGTCCTAATAGTGTTTTTAGCAACATGTTATATATATACATATATATATATATATATATATATATATATATATATATATATATATATATATATATATATATATATATATATATATATATATATATATATATATATATATATATATATATATATATATATATATATATATATATATATATATATATATATAATTTAGCTATGTGATGGTTTGCTGTTAGTAAATATGGATTTAAAACTTATATACCCATCTTATTAAATTAGTTTTATGTAATGCTTGCCATCATGTTCTTCATTTGTAGATCACATGTTGACGATTCCTCACAACAACAACTGCAACCATCAGCAGAGCAACAGCAAAAGCTAAAGCAACGCCAGTATGTTTTCTTTTAAAGAGCCCATTTGAATCTGAAACAGTTGAAGACAGACAAACATTATTTTAAAAATATTGAAAAAAATGAATGAATAAAAATTTAAATTATCAACCTTTTAACCTATTTTTTATGAACAGCTGTGTTCTACCAAGTATTGTTCTAGACCTGAAAGTAGCAAAATTCCTAATATAACGAATCTTAATGTTGCATGCAGGTTCACAATAAAAACATTTTCTTTAATCTTCATTCCATATTACACTGTTTTCTAAAACTGCAAAGGGGGGGCTATTAAATGACTAAAGGATTCAATGATACTCACCAGTGACTTTAACACTGAACATCTTCATGATGCTGAATAAGCTGCTGTTGACCAGTAGTTTATAATCTCCAGAGTCTGTGTTCCTGCTGTCTATGATGGTCAGAGATCCACTCTGATGATCCAGCTTCAGTCGGCCTCTGAATCTCTTGTCTGTATCACACTGGTCATCTGAACAGGACTTATTGGGAGTCATTTCAGTGATGCGAGTGTCATCAAAATACAGCGTCATCACATAGTTTTGATTGTTTACCGAACAAGCCTCAAAAGTGACAGATTGTCCCTTCCTTACTGATTTCCTCTTCATTTCCACACCAGGAATGTCTAAATATAAAACAACATGCAATCAGTGTTGTCACAGTAAAATGCTTGATTCTGATTGGCTGATAAACATTTAAAGGTGTGTTGATATTTTCAGATAAACACAGTTAAAGTAGATCCGGCAGATTTTGAACACATTACAGCTCTAAGTCACTATGCGGAATGATTTCCCAGCTACAACAGTCAAAAATCACATCAAACCACAACAGAAGGCTTTGGATGAGGTGTAAGAAACTAGTGTTACACATGGGAGGAATTTGCAGACAAAAACCATATACGTAAGTGGTTTCCCCAACAAATGCAAAGACATGTGGTTCAGGTGATTTGGGTAAGCAAAAACTGTATGTGTGTGAATGAGAGTGTATGGGTGTTTCCCAGTGATGGGCTGCAGCTGGAGAGGCATCCTCTGCATCAAACATATGCTGGATAAGTTGGGGTTCATTCTGCTGTGGCGACCCTTGATTAATAAAAGGACTAAGCCAAAAAAAAAATGAATGAATGAATAATGGACTTGAGTGCACGGAATTATTAGAAAATCATGAAGACATCTGCATATTACACACATTGTGATTTACCACCACTTCAGGTGTGCATTATTTTCTAATGATTTGACAACCCACCCACTATAATTCCTCACATATAAACCAAATAAGTTCTATTTTAAAGGGTCATGAAACACCAAAACACATTATATATATATATATATATATATATATATATATATATATATATATATATATATATATATATATATATATATATATATATATATATATATATATATATATATATATATATATATATATATATATATATATATATATATATATATATATATATATATATATATATATATATATATATATATATATATATATATATATATATATATATATATATATATATATATATATATATATATATATATATATATATATATATATATATATATATATATATATATATAAATGATATATATGTAGATATATATATATATATATATATATATATATATATATATATATATATGTATATGTATATATATATATATATATATATATATATATATATATATATATATATATATATATATATATATATATATATATATATATATATATATATATATATATATATATATATATATATATATATATATATATATATATATATATATATATATATATATATATATATATATATATATATATATATATATATATATATATATACATATATGTTTATTTATATATATAAATGTTTATTTATATATATTATGTGTGCGTGCGTGCGTGTCAATCAGGGTATCTTCCGTCCAATCCATATCCGTTTTCAAACAAAAAACAAAAAAAAAGACAACGTAAGTTTTTCCGTTTTTCACTTGCTCACAAGAAACGAAAAAATGAAATTTTGGCTCTTTTTTATTTTTTTTTATTTTTTTTATTTAGGATAGTTAAAGGGACAAACAACTTCAAAATTCATTATACACATCAAATCAAATCCAATCACTTTTGTTGTCACATCATCACGCGTAGACGGTGCTTTAAACGCCAACTTTCCTTTAATTGGTCAACCAAATCTGAGCTTGTGACGTAGCCCTCAAAATAAGAGCCTTCTGTGGACCAGCACCCAGGCTTTTACCTATTATTATTTAATTATATATATAAACTAAGTTTTCGTATTCTGTCATTTATTCAGTTAGCAGGTTTACATTCTTTGCGTATGCATAAATAAAAAATAAAAAAAGTAAACTAGCAGTATTATTAGACATTTGTTATTGAAATAAGGTCAGTTCGCTGCCAAACATCCTTCAGCTCTGCACCTGATACTGAACAAAGATAGCCATTTATGAGCAGCACCTAGTTTGCAAGATTATTTACGAGCAAGGCCTATAATAATGATGATGATGATAATAATAATAATAATAATAATAATAATAATAATAATAATTAATATTGTTCACTTACTGTTTTTTTTTTATTTTATTTTTTTAAATATATTTTTTAAATATTTTTTTGATACCAGAATAAAAACACATTGGGCTCAGTTGCTATAACAAAGGTCGGCTACTATTTTTAAAATTATTTTATTTCCTTCTATTCATTTTATTTGGCTATATATAGATAGATAGATAGATAGATAGATAGATAGATAGATAGATAGATAGATAGATAGATAGATAGATAGATAGATAGATAGATAGATAGATAGATAGATAGATAGATAGATTTTTTATAGATAGTTTTTTCTATAGATAGTTTATATATATATAATTAAATAATAATAATAGTTAAAAGCCTGGGTGCTGGTCCACAGAAGGCTCTTATTTTGAGGGCTACGTCATGAGCTCAGATTTGGTTGACCAATTAAGGGAAAGTTGGTCCAATTTTTTTGGAAAAGTTGTCCATTTTCCAACCCCCTAAATGAAAAAAACTAAATCGAGCCAAAATTTCATTTTTTCGTTTCTTGTGAGCAAATGAAAAACAGAAAAACTCACGTTTTTTTTTTTCTTCTTTTTTTGTTTGAAAACGGATCTGGATTGGACAGAAGATACCCTGATTGTGTGTCATTCTGTCATTTTCTTTTTAGCTTAGTCCCTTTATTAATCATTGGTTGCCACAGTGGAATGAACCGTCAACTTATCCAGCATATGTTTTATGCAGCGGATGCCCTTCCAGCTGCAACCCATCACTAGGAAACATTCATACACACTCATTCACACACACACACACTACCGACACAATGTAGCCTACCCAATTCAATATGGACAAAAATCTCTGAGGAATAATTCCAGAACCTTGTTGAATCTTTGCCACGAAGGATTAAGTCAGTACTGAAGGCAAAAGGGGTCCAACCCAGCACTAGTATGTTGTATCCTATAAAGTGGCCAGTGAGTGTAGATCTGTGTATATAGCATTAAAAGTGACTCCTGTTATTTTTGTACTTTTTTTTTTTTACACTGGTAATTTTAATCAAACAAATAGTTTGATTTGTTTACAATTTGCCTTTTTTTTATTTTAGTGTTTGCATTTTTTATTATTATGTTTTTGACTGCTTTATCTTTGTATTGGTTGTCACTGTGCTTATTTTGCGATAATTATTGATGCCTATACAGGGTTCAACAATAAGGACTGCCCAATGGCCCGGGGCCAGTGTGAGAGATGCTCGGGACAGTAGACAGAATCGTTACTGGCCCAATCGGGTCACTAAATTTCAATT